CAACCAATGATGACGTAACGATCTGTATCACGTGAACCAAGGTAGCATTAAGTTTGACTTGCGTATTGTTTGTTTAAATAAATAGTTGTGTCTGTCCAGAAAGCTGGATTCCTTGAATGTTTCTAGTATTTTGATTGGTCGAGCTGGTCGAGCTACAGAGTTTTYTAAACCAATCACAGCGCACATTATTATCGTTTGTCCAATCAAAAAAATCGGGCAAGGTCACCGCCACGGCACGCAACAGAAGCTCGCGCTCTCATCTCGTGTTTTCTTACGTACACTGRTACTCTYAAGGTGTTGTTTGTATAACTTCACAATATATTTCTAGTTTGCGCATATTTTTGACTGATATTTTGGTCGCAACAGTGAATATACCTGGTTCTTCAGATCCTGTGATAGTGCCAATGACGTTGTACACCGGCATTTGTTGCATTCTGTTCGACACTTCGACCCTGATCTCTCTGATAAACCAAAAGAAAACAGTCGTCAGTCATTTACTTAGTGTTCCAAGGATACAGCCATTCTTAACTTTTATTTTATTATATCCATTACGCACGCGCAGAATCAATCTTAAGAAAATCCCACATGGTTTAAAACCATTATTTATTGGCACTTAATCCAGTGGCTAAGGAAGTTCGTTGTTTATACAGGTAAAGCAAGCAGAAGACGAAACAATAGCGCGTTAAAGACATATYGATCTTCGAGGTACGTAAAACAATGGAAACTTTGGTTTATAGTTTGATTTGCCTTTCCTGTCTTTTGCCCATGAAATAGTTAGTAGACTAATAGAGAATACTAGATTTATTTCCATTGTTTTCTGTGTGYCTCATTTAACTATATTACACATTCAGCAATTTTTACGCCACAAATAAAATTACCACAATTATTAGTTAATGGGAAAGCTACGCGTCGTGCTTCTCCTAACACTTCTCTCGTGTTCTGCCAGCCCCCGCGTGCTTAATAACTGCACACAGCACGCGCGCGCATTTGCTATTCCTTCAACATTGATATAGTTCTCATGCACGGTTGCAAAGAGTTGTTYCCTCTCTGTATGGTAGATATATATGAYGATAATTTACTGGRCGACGTGGGAGAGGCGAGAAGRAGAGAGCGGATCGTTCTGCCAAAATGCATTGCRGACAAACCTTGTATCCGATGAATCCATTTCKATATTGTAACTGAATCCGAGTCCTCCTTGCCAGCCACTCGGTGCTTTTCTTATCTTGAGRGTTCTAAATAAGATGAATAATGCACAAATCAATGCAATCTTGCTGACCATTGACCCCACTAAAAAACACAGAATCAATGATGGGGCGAAAAACGTTTTTCACTAGACCTATTTATGTTTATTTTTCGGATTATGGAGGCTKTACACCATCACGCGATGGCAGCCATGACAGTAGGCACAATAATAGAACCTTTTTTCCAGTGAAAACTGAATTATTTCTCGTGTAAATCAGATTACACCAGATCACGATTGTTCCTGCCTCCTGTCATGGCTGCCATCATGTCATAGTGTAAAGCCTTTATAGTGTAATCGATTGAGGCGCACCTACTTTAAATTTCTAACTTCCACTAACGATTACTTGGAATCATAGTTCCAAGGCCGACCGCTCTACTGATTTTTCTACTAGTGTAAGTAATAACCTGCAACTTTATCGCGGTGGGGAGATTTTCGTGCCTGGAAGAACMCGAAAGGTTCGATCAAGCCAGAATGGTTTCGGGCCAAACCTCTMTGGTGGGTRGTGGRGCAGRGGATTAAGAACSCATTCCCGTTGCCTTATGCTACTCATGACGCTGCGAGAACTGATGATGATSATRAAGTTTATAATCATATTGAGGAGTACGTACTTAAGAAGAGGTGCAGCATCAGACCAKGAGATTGGGTGCACTGGGATCTTRGGGAATGGAAGATCGTCCTGGTGTACCCTGTAGATTCCGTCTAAAGAGAATGYAAAGATCATTATTATATATTGAAAAGAAGAAATGATGCTGGCTATTTTGGTCCTGTCTCCATCAGA